TGTTCCCTAGGTGGCCTCTCTTCCCCCCATCTTCCAAGGCCACCCTCACATTCCATCATAAAACTAAAGAATCAATAATAATAATAATAATAATAATATAATAACAACAACTATGATCATACCTTTAACACCACCAGACAACAACATCTGCCTATCCCAGGTCCTTGGAAAGGACTCGATAGGTGGAAATACATATCTGGCTGACTGTGCGACCAACCATAATAATAATAATAATTTGTAAGGCCACCAAATCAGAAAGACACAGAACTTTGCATTACAGTCTGTTAACTGGTCCAGTGCAGCCTATTCTCAGACTTGGAAAGCTCCCAAGGAAAAAACGGAAAGTCTCCCCACCTGGGTAAATGTCTTTGCCCTTGTTAGGTGAGAAGAAAACAGATTTAGCACAAAATGGGGAAACTAAGTCACCAGGCAGATCTCTCAGCAAGAGAGAGCCTTTCGTGTTTTTGCCATTGCCTTCCCGTCCCCGTTCCTGGGCTCTGTTTCATGTTTCGATCCTATCTGCCCTTGCAGCGGATGACAGCAGCTGTTCCCTCGGCCAAGGCAGAGCTGGATTCATCTGACAGCGGGGGCAGTCTGCCGAGCCCGTTCCTCGAGGAAGAGGAGAAAGCTGGAAATTCATGCAGTGAGTAAAACAGAAAGATTCCCGGGCCTTCCTTGAATCAGCCAAAGACAAATTGGCATGGTTTCCCTTTTGCAACCTGGCGCCCTCCACACGTCAGGGTTGCAACCCTTTGGCTGAGCTCGCAGGGTGGGGAAAGGGCGAGGAACTGCTTTCACGCCATAGGCTGAGCTTGGTTGGTCTGAGGTTTGGTTTTTTGGAGGGGTCCCCAACCTTTATCATTTCAGTGTCTGGTGTGAAGCTAGAACGCAGGCTAATTCAGGAATCCCATTAAGCGTGTTGGGTAAACCTGGCCTCTGAGTTCCTAGCCTGCATGGGCAAAGGCTGAAGAAGTTTGAGGGTTGTATTCCAGGGTATCTGGTTGGGGAAGGATGCTTAAAACATTTTGGCTTTGGCTATGCTTCACCAGTCCATCTTTTCTTTTTTATCTTTTCTCTTCTTTCTTT